CGGTTAAAGCAGCTATGAAAAAGCGAATGGAAAATTCATCCTTTTGAAGGTGAAAGAGAATGTTTCTAATGTTATTTCATAATAAGTTAAATAGTATCAGTCGGTTTTGCCGACAGATGTGGGGTACCCAGCCTTGAGTTATGATTATTCAAATTGTTGACGCTTTATGGGGGAGGTACCGAAGAAGTTGGCCAATATTGTCAAATTCGTATCTGACCTAATTCGGATATAAATATTACAACGTGACAGATTAGGTCTATATCGTCAACTTCCTATACTTTATATTAAATATGTGCAAATTTTTGGAAAAAGTGGAAATATGCGTGAGGTACATGATATAGCGGAACGAAATATTCCACTTAATCTAATACCGATAAAAATATTGGTATGTGCAAAATTTAAAGGAAATCGAACATTTATATGCACTTTTATACGAAATCATAAATTTCGAGATTTCTGGTTAAGTAGTTGTGACCCTTTGTAGGTGAGGTAACAGAAGGGGTTGGTATATATCTATCATCTTCATAATATATATTACGTTAACGAAAATGTTTGGATGTGTGGAAGTTGAAGAGAGTTGGATGTTTATTTCGCGTTTTATGAGCGTTTTGATTTTCAAAATTATGAACCCCTTTTGGGGGAAGTAGTAGAAGGAGTGCGCCGATATTTAATGATATGACAACAAGTAAAAAAGTTCGGCCGGGCAAAACCTTGAATATCCTCCACCATTTGGAACGAATTTGGCAATTCTCAAAAACAATAAAATCAGTTAAAAATTCTATTAAAATCTTAAAAATACCGAAAGTAGCTGTTATATTTGGGTCTATATGACGACATGGAAGTGCAAAGGTAACATTAGTAATACGCCACTACAATATTCAAATGCGAAACTTAAGAAAAATCGGTAACATGTAGCCAAAATCATCAAAATATCGAATATCGGGAGATACCGTTATACAGTGGCTATACGAAGACGTGGACCGGCACAGACAATTTTCTGTCTTAGGCTGTAGCATCCATTACGAACATCAAATATCAAATTTGAAAGAATTCCGGTAAATAATGTCGCTAAAATCAACAAAGTATACGAATATCGGGAGGTACCGTTATATGGGGGCTATACGAAGACGTGGACCTGCACAGACAGTTTTCTGTCTTAGGCTGTAGTATCTATTACGAATTTCAAATGCCAAATTTAAAACAATTCCGGTGTATAATGTCGCTAAATTCATCAAAATACCGAATATCGGGAGGTACCGTTATATGGGGGCTATACCAAAACGTGGACCTACATGGCCTATTTTCAATACCAAGAGTTCTGCAGACATAAAATACATTTGAGTAAAATTTTATCAATCTACTCCAATTCGTTCGAAAGCTAGAGTGATTTCCACAGAAGGACAGATAGACAGACGGACGGACATCGCTAAATCGACATAGAATTTTATGCTGATCAAGAATATATATACTTTGTGGGGTCTAAAATGTATATTTCGAGGTGTGACAAACGGAATGACAAACAAAAAAAATATACCCTCCATACAATGTGGAGGGTACAATGATATGATATTAACTAATGACATGTGAGAAATTTGAAGATAGCCGAATGCTTATTTTGGATTGTATGATCGTTTTGGTTATTTGCAATTTTGAGCATTTGTGGGGAGGTACCAGAAGAAATGGTCCGATCTCTAACATTTTATAAAATATCTTGTGTTGATGGAAATATTCAATTGGGCCAAGTCCGAATGGAATGCATGTTAATTCGTGTTTTATGAGCTTCATGTATATTCAAAAATTTGACCCTTTTTGGGGGAGATACCAGAAGGAGTGGTCCGATATTTCCCATTTTCACAGCAGTTCTTGTGTTATTAAAAATAATGGGAAGTGTGAAATATGAAGGGCAATATGAAGAGAAATATGAGCTTCATGTATATTCAAACTTTTGACCCTTTGTGGGGGAGGTACCAGAAGGAATGGTCCGATCTCTACCGTCTTTATAACATATCCTGTTTTGATAGAAATATTCAGATGTGCCATTTCTAAATGGAATCGGATGTTAATTTCGCATTTTATGAGCTTAATTGATATTCAAAATTTCGAAAAAAAAATATTTTTTTGGGCGAGGTACCAAAAGGAGTGGACCGATATATTTCGTCTTAATACCAGGTCTTGGGTTCATAAAAATATTAGGATGTGTGAAATGTGAAGACAATCGGACTTTGACATCATATTTTATAAAAGTTCTAATTATTCAAAATGTTGACCCTTTGTGGGAGAGGCACTTGATGGAGTGGTCCGATATTATCCATTTTCGCACCAGACCTACCACTGACGCAAATATTAGGATTTGCAAAGTTGGAGCAAAATCAGATTATCGTTTCTCTTTCTGTGCAAAAAATATATATTTTCGAAAATTTCGACCATTTGTGGGGGAGGTACTTGATGAAGTGGAAAGATGTATTCCATCTTAACACCAGACCTTGGGTTAACATAAAGATTGTGATGTGTAATATCTGAAGAGAATAGGACTCTTACATCACATTTTATAAGTATTGTAATTATTCAAAAGTTTGACCAATAGTGGAGGAGGTACTTGATGGAGTGAACCTATATTGTCCATTTTCGCACCTGATCTAGCACTAATGCAAATACTATGATTTGCAAAGTTGGAGCAAAATCGGACTACCTTTTCTCCTTTTGTGCAGTAAAATTTTTCAAAAATTTCGGAAAAGGAGTGGGCCGATATTGTCCATACGAACTCCGAACTCGATCTAAGTTTGATAATAATATTACGACGCACCAAGTTTGGACCAAATCTAATACTCCCTTCGAAAGTTGTCGTGCGCACCAGCCAGACAGACGGACGGACATCGCTAATTTGACACCAAACATGCCGAAACGGATTTGGTCTGAAGAGACTTAGGGTCTAAAACCGTTATTTCGATGAGGCACGTTTTGGCCTTATCAAATGATATATACCCTCTGTAGCCTTGTGGCTGAAAAGCATTAAATGTTGTACCATTTGGTAATATGTGAAAGGATAGACTTAAAATCTTAACTATTTTTTTTGTACAATTTGGATGAACGGATGGAGCTTTTGATATTGAGGTCGCTTTGTAGGGCAAAAAGTACAAAATGGTACAAATTTAGCATTGGGTGAACGGATTGGGCGTCACTCTTAGAGTGTAGGATTTAGATTTGGAAGTGGTTTTGAAAAAAACGTACCACAAGAAGTACGAATAGTTCTTTTTTTGGATTTGGAGAAAGAAGAAATTTGGATATCCTCTATTGGGTATTTGGATCACGTTCTGTGCAGTGGGGTTGATATAAAAATGTGGATCTAGAAATACGTAAAAAAGAAGTATTAAAAGTACTTATGATAATATGTACTTATGAAAATATGTACTTATGTATGTATACCGTTTTGGTATAGCCCCCATATAATTATACCGACAGATTAAAGTTTTGTTTTTGGGTGTTTTTTTTTTTTTTTTGTCACAATATTAACCCGAATTTGCTGTAAATTGACAGCTTGTGCTCCCGTTATGTAAGAAACATCCTTGCATAGAAATGTCAAAATAAGTCTATGTTTTGTTATAGTCCCCATATGATTGTACGTTCAGATAATCGGTATTTTGATTTGTGTGATACTTTTCACAGGAAATGTTTTAAATTTGGAATTTGAAGTCCCCAATGGGTACTACATCTTATGACAGAAAATTGGATATGCAGGTCTAGGTCTTTGTAAAGTCCCTATATAACGCCACCTCCCTATGTTCGACTATGATTTTAGCTAAATTATTAACCAGGATTGATCAAATTTCGTATTTAAAGTTCCTAATTGGGAAAATTGCATATGCAGGTCCAAGTCGTCGTATAGACCCAACACAATGGTAACTCCCTATATTCAGCATTCTTATGATATTAGTAGTATTTTTGCACGGATTTTTTTTTTTTTTTTTTTTTGTGAGAATTTAGAAATTCCTTCCAAATGTTGAAGGCTATTTAAAGTTCGGTACAGCCGAATTTACTGCGTTTTTATACCCTCCACTATAGTATGGAGGGTATATTCCGTTTGTAACACCTCGAAATATACATTTTAGAAAGTATATATATTCTTGATCAGGGTAAAATTCTATGTCGATTTAGCGATGTCCCTCCGCTTGTCCGTCTGTGGAAATTACTCTAGCTTGCGAACAAAATTAAGTAGGTTAATAAATTATTACTCAAATGTATATTATGTCTGCAGGACTTTTGGTATTGAAAATGGGCCACGTAGGTCCACGTTTTGGTATAGTCTCCATATAATTGTACCTCCCCTTTTCGGTCTTTTGATGATTTTAGCCATATTGTTCACCGAAATTGTTTCAAATTTGGTAGTTGAAGTTCGTAATGGATACTACAGCCTAAGACAGAAAATTGTCTGTGCAGGTCCACGTCTTCGTATAGCCCCCATATAATACCCCCGACATTCGGTATTTTGATGATTTTAGTGACATTATTCACAGGAATTGTTTCAAATTTGGTTTTTGAATTTCGTAATTAATACTGCAGTCTAGGATAGAAACTTGTCTGTGCAGATCCACGTCTTCGTAAAACCCCCATATAACGGTAACTCCCGATATTTGGAATTTTGATGATTTTAACTACATTATTCACCGAATTGTTTTATTCAAGTTTCGCATTTGAGTATTGTAATGGTTTATGACAAAAGTTACCTACGCAGGTCCACGTCCTCGTATAGGCCCTAATATAACGTCTACATTCGGTATTTTTAACATTTTAACAGGATTTTTAACGGATTTTATTGTTTTTGGGAATTGCCAAAATCGTTCCAAATGGTGGAGGCTATTCAAAGTTCGGTCCGCCTGAACTTACTGCTTTTTTACTTGTTTTTAGTTCAAGTATGCATCAAAGACTATAACTACGGGACGGCAACGCGGACCGGGCCAGCTAGTAGATTATAAAATTAAAAATATTCTTTTTTTCATTTGCAGATGGTTTAAAGAGGAAAACGAGCAGCTGTTGCCCCTGCAACTAAGTGATCGAATATCGATTGTATCGGCAGGACTTTTGAAAATAAGTAAGGTATGTTAAAATATTACGGGTGGAGGTTATTTTTTTTAATTAACCTTGACGAAATTTTTTTTAGCCAATGGTTCAGTTGGCTTATTGTGGCCTTGATGGGTCAAAGGGGCGTTTTTTTTTTTTTTTTTTTTTTTTTTTTTTGAACTAATCAACTTAAATCTTGGTGTTTGGAGTCGCATATTATACAGGGAAGTTATGGTAAAGTCTATTTTAAATGTCATAAAAGCATAAATTTGATCTCCATATTTATGGGTAAAAACGGCACTTGAAATTGTTTTTCTATGGCCCGAAATCATTATTTTTAATTTCCGAACTGATTTCATATGAAGGAGTGATTCAGAATACATATAGGAACCTACAAGTTTTTATATATTGCTATTAAAAATGTCCTTCATCCCACTTTAAATGTACAAACACTTACCTGTATCCATGGCTCTTTGGCTACTTCTCTCCAGATCTGATTTGCATCATATCTTTCAAGCTTTCAGAGCACCAATAATTTAAACTGAAGTAGAAAACCACCCAAAAAATCAACAATAAACAACTAAGCCATTTGCCAACATCAAAAAAAAGGAAAATATTTCTACATGTCATCACTTTATTGAATATTTATTTGTTTATTTTTTATTTCTACTTTTTCCCACTTGAAATTATGCGCACAGGCACGTCTCGATGATACCGGCAAGTATTTGTGCTGGGTAAACAATACCGCTGGAGAGGAAACGATACAAGTCTCGTTAACAGTCACAGGTAAGTTGGAGATCCTTATGTCTCCGCCCAGAGATTTGTCACTTCTTCCAGTTTGAGTTGTCCATTCCCTACGACTCAATGCTATCCCAATTGAAAGTGATGGGTTGGGAAAGAAATTTGATGCGATTTTATTTATTTAATGTAAGTATCTCTCATCATACCATCATCTCCGGCCATTCCCATGGCCCTTCGTCCCGAGGATACTAAACGAATATGCATTAGATACAATTTGGCTGAAGGCAATGGCAGAAAACGACGATGACGACGACACATGCCAAATGGCCTCCATTTCATTAACGAAACGAGAAAGAGAGGGAGGGAGAGAGAGCGGGCGAGCGATGGTTATTTGCATAATTTAATTAAATTTTCATTAAGTAAACACAGGCCAATGACAAAAAATATATACGTATGCTACGTCCTTGAGACCAGCATCCGCACCAATATTGCCAACTACATCGACAACATTATAAAGTTGGTCACCTGTTCTCGAAAAGAGTTTTCCCACAGTTCGAAGAATTTGTTAATGAACATGAAAAGCAAGGATGAACGTAAAAGGAAACACAGGCGTTGTTAATAAAGCGAAGATGAAAAATATCGCCCAGACAACTGCGAAGTAGGTGAAGCGAAGATATTGTTCAAACTGACGAACGTTCTCAGGGTCATAATTTGCAAATTAAGGGTTAGGGTAGTATATAATTATAATTACTATATATATATTTGGACTGAATGGCAAATTTCAAAGCAAAAGCCATATAAACCGAATAATCCATTGAAAGGAGGTATTTTGAAGATAATTTGTCATTCCCAAAAAAGTCTAAGCTAAAAAAAATCATTACCAAGTAATGGACACAGAGTCTGCTATTCGGCTATAAAACCGAAGGTTATGAGTTCGAAACTCGGAGTCGGTAAATGAAGAAAAAACTAAGATGAGTTGTTGATGTAGTTGTTAGACTCTAAACAACAGCTAATGTTGGTAACAGAGGCACAATAGGCACTGCTACAAATCATAAGGTTTCGAGTTCAATTCTAACGCAGTACAAAAAAAAGTAAAAAAGCTGTAAGTTCGGCCGGGCTGAACTTTGAATACCCTCCACTATTTGGAACGAATTTGGCAATTCTCAAAAACAATAAAATCCGTCAAAAATTCTGTTAAAATCTTAAAAATACCGAATGTAGCTATTATATTAGGGTCTATACGACGACATGAACCTGCGTAGGTAACATTTGTCATAAGCCATTAAAATATTCAAATGCGAAACTTAAAAAAATCGTTTAAAATGTCGATAAAATCAAAATACCGAATATCGGAAGGTACCGTTTTATGGGGCTATATGAAGGCGTGGACCTGCACAGACAATTTTCTGTCGTAGGCTCTAGTATCCATTACGAACTTCAAATATCAAATTTGAAACAATTCTGGTGAAAAAATGTCAATAAAATCATTAAAATACCGAATATCGTGAGGTACCGTTATATGGAGGCTATGCCAAAGCGTGGACCTACATGGCCCATTTTCAATACCAAAAGACATAACATACATTTGAGCAAAATTTTATCAATCTACTTCAATTCATTCGGAAGCTAGAGTGATTTCCACAGACGGACGGACATCGCTAAATCGACATAGAATTTTATGCTGATCAAGAATATATATACTTTGTGGGGTCTAAATTGTGTATTTCGAGGTGATACAAACGGAATGAGAAACTCAATATACCCTCCATACTATGGCGGAGGGTATAATAACAAATTGTATAGACAGGTCCAGGTCTTCGCATAAATTGTCTATGCAGGTCCATATATATTGCACCCATTTATGGTACCTTCCTGTATTCGATATTTTTATACCCTCCACCATAAAAAGTATTCAGAGTATATTAAGTTCATCATTCCGTTTGTAACTCATCTATCCGTCCGTCCGTCTGTCGAAATCACGCTACAGTCAAAACGAATTAAGATAGAAAGCTAAAATATTGCACAGATCTGTATTTTGTCTGCAGGCAGGTCAAGTTCGAAGATGGGCTATAACGGTCCACGATATCGTATAGTCCCCATATAACGGTACCCCCGATATTCGGTATTTTAATGAGATTAGCCACATTTTTCAATGGAATTGTCTAAAATTCAAAACAAGGAGTTCTTTGGAGTACTTTATTCCCTTAAAGAGAATTACCTATGTAGGTCCACGATATCTTATATCTTCCATATAACGGCACCTCCCGATATTCATTATTTTGATGATTTTACCCACTTTTTCCACAAAAGGAGTTCGTTGTGATTACTTTATCCCCTGGCAGAGAATTTTTTATAAAAGTCCACGATATTGTATAGTTCCCATATTCGGTACTTTCATGATTTCAGCCAAATTTTTAATGGACTTTTTTCTTCCAAATGGTGGAGGGTATAAAAAGTTCGGCACGGCCGGAACTTAGCTGCTTTTTTTCCTTTTTTTTTAAATATTCGCCGGAATGATTTCAAATTTCGTATTTGAAGCTGCTAATGGGTACTACAGTCTATGGCAGCGAATTGGTCATGCAGGTCTAGGTCTTTATGTAGCCCCCATATATCGTTACCTCCCTATATTCGGTATTTTGATGATTCTAGGTACATTATTCACCAGAATTATTTCAAATTTGAAATTCCTGATGGGTACTACAGCCTGAGACAGAAAATTGCTATACAGATTCAAATCTTCGTATAGCTCTCGTATATTGGTACCTCACAAATTCGTTCCAAATGGTGGAGGGTATTTACTGCTGTTTCACCTGTTTTTTTTTTGAAATTAGAGAACAAATCTATGTTAACTACTGATCTCTCCTGACTAGAATAGGGATCTTGTTTTCCAACCCCAGGACTTATATCGTGATTTTGCTAAAAGAATTTGCGAACACATTCAAACAAACAAAAATGACCGACACATCTATATCAAATCGTGGACCTACTTCTTTCATATGGCAATAATCCGTCTAATTAGAACTCAAAATGCAAAATTCATTGTAGTCCCAATCAGTGAAATACCGAAATACCTTATCTTAATCTGAACCGCTATTCGCCAAAACTGCCACACATACTTCTTTACTGGACTTGGCCGTGAGAACAAAAATTCATTAGATTCGAACGACACTATAGCTACCATACTATATCCAAATCTAATCCGATTATCACCAGTTTCAGAAGGGTAGGGTTCTCCTTGTCTTCTCTTTTTGGCGTTACACAATGCTGCGGTTTCAGGATATCACTGATAATTAAAATTGGGGGAAATTTTCGTGACTGAACTTAGTGTGTTATAGGTTAAAAACAATTAAGATACCCCCTTCGAAAGTTATTGGGCGCACCATTCGGCCAGACGGACATGGCTATGAAAAACATTTTAGGGCATTAAATGTTATATACCCTCTATAACCATAAGGCTGCAGCAGACGGATGGATAACGTTTGCAAATTCACTCCATATGGGGTTCCAAATTATTTCCAAGTTTTTTTGAGTAGAAAAACAAGTAAAAAAGTAGCTAAGTTCGGCAGGCTGAACTTTTAATACTCTCCACAGTTTGGAAGAAACATGTTACACTATCTCTGATTTGAGTTACCGTATTTTTTCAATTTATTTATTTGTCAATTTATCTGCCAAAATTTGTCAACATTGGATGTACTTTTTGTATATCCTCCTATATAACCATACTCCTGATTTGAGAGATTTTTAAAATTTTAGCATTTTAACATTTTTATGTAAATTCCAGAGGTTTTATTTTATTTCATAGTATAGCTTTTTGAAAAAGCCGAAAACTTAAATGGATTCTTTGACAAAACAACACCTTCCTTTACCTTGTCGTACTACTCTTTTCCAATTTTCTCTCTTTGTTTATTTCATGACTTTCTTGGCCCTTGGCAGCACCGCTGACGGCTCATCTACAACCCCAAGTACAAACTGTAGATGTCGATAAGGATGCACAGTTCCAATGCATTGTAACCGGACATCCGGTGCACGATGTTAATTGGTTGCACGACGGCAAGCCAATACTGAGAGATAATCGGGTGGAGGTAAGTTTGTTGTGAGCTGAGGAAATTTGCAGAGTGTCAGTCTGTGTGTGTGTGTGTCAACACCAGAAATATTAATTGGTATTTTTTTCTTTTCTTTTTCTTCGTTTTCTTTTTTTCAGATTCTTTCAGATCCCCCACGACTCATAATAAAGAAAGTACAAAAAGATGATCCTGGCATGTATCAGTGTTTTGTATCGAATGAATGGGAACAAATACAATCGACGGCTGAGCTGCAACTGGGAGGTGAGTTAGGTATAATTTTTGTGAGGACATGAAATGGCATCTGTTGGAAATTTTTTAAAATGCTTTGGAATAAATCGACAACGAAATTTATCAGTTATCTAACTTTAACGATTTCGGTTTTAAGAAATTTGAAAAACTCCCAGAAGGAGTCAAGTAAAGAAAGTTTAAAAGTCGGGAGGCGCCGACTTTATAATACCCTACACCCCTTTATATATTTAGTAGAGCTTCATATAGCAAATAAAAATAAACAAATTAAAGAGTATCAGTCGGTTTTGCCGACAGATTGGTACCCTCAGCCTATATCCGTTTATTAAAGTATATTTTGACATGTTTTATTATTATTCAAAATGTTGACCCTCTATAGGAGAGCTATCGATGGAGTAGAAAAGTATTGTCCAGTTTGCTTATTACCTTAGTCTGATACAATCAATGGAGATGGCAGGTCTGGATAAAGTATATATACTTGTTGACAATGCTCAATTTTTTGGAAGTTAACAGAAAGAGTGGTCAACATACCCCATATACACGATTTTTGAAGTAAATCGCTGATTCGTTTCGCATATATAAGAGCTATAATTATTCATAATGAAGGTGAAGGTACCAGGGGTACCATACATTTCATATTCAAATCAGATCTCTTGTTGGTAAAAATATTGTAATATACAAGGTTTGAAGAAAATCGTGAACATATTTCGCATGTTATGAGAGTTTAATTATTCAAAATTTTGACCCTATGTAGGGAAGGTACCAGAAAGAGAGGAACAATTTATTATATCTCCATAGTAGATCTAGATATCCATAGTAGATCTTGTTAGGTTGTTTAATGTTTGTTTATTCAAAATATTGATCCGTTGTAGGGGAGGAATCAGAAGGGAATGTTCGTTCTATCCGTTCTACGTATCCAATTTTGTGTTGGTAGAAATATTGGGTTATGCGAAATTTGATGGAAAATAGGGGTCTTATTTCACATTTTATAATAGTTATTATTCAAAATGTTGACCCGTTGTGGGGGAGGTATTAGAAGGAGTGGACCGATATATTCCATTTTAATTAAAATGTTGACCTTTGTGGGGGAGGTACCAGAAGGTGTGAACCGGCATTTTCCATTTTCACATCCCATCTTGTAATAATTTTAATATTGGGATGTGCGAAATGTTAAAAGAGTCCGATATTTATTTCGCATTTTATGAGGGTTTTAGATATTCCAAATTATGACCCTTTGTGGGTAAGGTATTCAAAAGAGTAGTCCGATAAATCCCATCCTCATATCAGATCTTGTTTCGATAAAAATATTGGGATGTGCGAAGTTTGAAAATAATCGAATACTTATTTCGTATTTTATGAACGTTTTGGTTATTTAAAATGTTGACTCTTTGTTGGGGAGGTACCAGAAGGAGTGGTCCACTATACTCCTCCTTTACACTAGATTTTGTAATGGTAAAAATATTGATATAAAGAGAAATTTGAGGAGAATCTGCAGTATATTTTGCATTTTATGAGCGTTTGTGAGGGAGGTACTAGAAGGAGTAGTCCGATCTTGTCCATTCTCGCACCCGATCTTGCGGTAATACAAATATCACGATTTGCAAGCATTGAAGAAATAAAGATTATCCGTTCTTTTCCTATGTGGTAAATTATTTTCTATGGAAATGTTGACCTTTTGTAGAGGAGGTACCAGTAAATGAACCCATGTTTCCCATCGATCTGAGTTAGACAAAAATACTACGATGTACCAAGTTTGGGCCAAATCGGATACTCGTTTTGAGAGTTATCGTGTGCACCAGCCAGCCATACAGACGGACGGACGGACATCCAAATCTCCTGAAACGGATTTGGTCCAAAGAGACCTAGGGTCTAAAATCGTTATTTCGACTAGGCACGTTTTGTCAGTATAAAATGATGTTTAGCCTCTCTAGCCATGTGACTGAGGGTATAAAAATATAACAAAGCTATATCTGAACCGATTTGAAATTTGACATACTTGTTTCTAGGCTCAGTTTGATCATAAGTGCCAAATTTCATCCGATTTGGGTCAATATTACATGTTTGGTGCACAATAAAAGCCAAATCGGACGAAGATTTATATGGGAGCTACATCTAAATCTAAACCGATCTCTATAAAATTTGTTGAAGGTATTTCTGAGCTGTATTTGATATATTTCCCAAAATGTCGTTGTTACAGAGTGCATAATACGGGTGCGGAGGACAAAAATATTAAATCGGTTGAGCACTATATATATGCCTATATCGAAACCGACCAAATTTGGCATATTTATTTCCAGGCTTAATTTGTTCGTATATGCAAAATTCCATACTATTTGGGCAGATATTACACGTTTGGTGCACAAAAAATAGAAAATCTAGGTCATTAATGATTCATGAAAAAAGGATACCGTCTGTGTGGCTGTCTGTCTGGCTGATGGTGCGCACGATGACTCTCGAAGTGAGTAGCTGATTTAGTCCATACTTGGTACATCGCAATATGTTTGTCAAATTTATATGGAGTTCGGAGATGGGCAATATCGGTTCACTCCTTCTGGAGCCTCCCCCACAAAAGATCGAAATTTTCAAAAAATATGTTTTCTGCACAGAAAGAGAAACTAAAATCCGATTTTCCTCCAACTTTGCAAATCCTAATATTTGTGTTCCAGGTCAGGGGCGAAAACGGACATTATCGGTCCACTTCATCAAGTACCTCTCCAAAAAGGGTAAAAACTTTGAATAATTACAACTCTAGTAAAATGTGATGTAAGTGTCTGATTGTTTTCAAATTTCACAAATGCCAATAATTTTGTAAACCCAAGTTCTAGCGTTAAGATGGGATACATCGATCTACTCTTTCTGATAACTCCCCCAATAAGTGAAATTTAAAAAAAATATATTTTCTGCACAGAAATAGAAGCGATAATTCTATTTTGCTCGAAATTTGCATATCCTAATATTTGCATCAGTTCTAGGTCAGGTGGAAAAATCGATATTATCATTTCACTCCATCAAGTACCTTCCCCACAAAGCGTCAACATTTTGAATAACTTTAACTCTTATAAAATGTGATGTAAGAATCCGATTGTCTTAAAATTTCACACATCCCAATATTTTCATAAACCCAAGATCTGGCGTTAAGATGGAATATATCGGTTCACTCCTTCTGGTGCCTCCCCCACAAAAGGTCGAAATTTTGAATATCCATGAAGCTCATAAAAGCGAAATTGACATCGGATTCCATTTGTCTGAATATTTAAATCAAAACACAGTATCAGTTTAAAAAAAGGTAGAGATCCTCCCCCACAAAGGGTCAAAATTTTGAATAACCAAAACGTTTATAAAATCCGAAATAAGCATCAGGTTATCTTTATATCTCACACATCCCATTATTTCCACTAACAAAAAATCCGTTGTGAAGATGGGATATATCGGTCCACTCCTTCTGGTACCTCCCCCACAAAGGCTCAAAATTTTGAATATCCATGAAGCTCATAAAAGCGAAATTGACATCCGATTCTATTCCAGACTTGGTACATCCCAAAATTTCCATTGACAGAACACAGTCCAAACCTAGCACGTCGCAATATTTGTATCATATTTATTTAGGTCTGATTCGAAATGGCCAATTCCTTCGGAACCAACTACATAAGGGGTTAAACATTTGAATAATCATAACAGAAGTCAAAATATTTTTAAATAATCGAACATTGGCTGAGGGTATACATCTGTCGACAACACCGACCGATACTTTTTTACTTGCTTCTTGATAAAAAAGTACTCATTTTTCAAATGAATTCAAAATTCCAGTTACAGTTGACAGCCAAAAGCATTTGACTGGCATCCATTCAGTGCCAATAAATAATTCACCAGTTGTTAAATGAAGCTCAACAGGCATAAACAATGACCACAAAATATTGTGACAAATGTGGCCATGTCACTGAGATGGACTTTTGTCGCAACACCAGTTGGCCACAAACAATAAACAGGACAAAAACGCAAGTGAGCCATAATCACTCTATTATCACCACGACCATTGTTGCAGTGGAAAAAAAGTGTGAAAATTGACTTAATTAAATTTGATTTCATATCAATTTTTCAATTGACCTTCTTCGATCGGATCGCTTTGGGAAGCGATAAAGAAGCAACTGATTATGTCCAGTTTGTAGTCAATTCAATAGAGACAATAATTTTTACATATGGTTTATTACATTAACTTGATGACTGGCAGGTACTTGGGAGGCTGTTGTATAATATTGCATTAAGAAGATTACTTTAGTTCGGAAAATGGATTCAGAAAAGCGCTTGAAACTACATATTTATTTACTCTACACCACAAGGTGGTCAGGGTATTATGTATTTGTGCATTTCTTTGTAACAGGCAAAAGGAAACGAGATAGACCCATAGTTCCTTTTGATGATGTATTTTTGTAAACAAAGTACAGTTCGCATTTATTGCCCTATCCAGATGAAATTTTGCACAAATCACTTGTTTGTCCCAAGGACGAACCCTATTGAAATTGGAGATAATCGGCAATAATTTAGATATAGCTCCCATATATATCTTCGTCCGATTTGCCTTTTATTGTGCACCAAACGTGTAATATAAGCCCGAATAGTATGGAATTTTGCACGTAAGATTGGACCTGAAAATAAGTATGCCAAATTTGGTGAAGATCGGTTAAGATATAACTATAGCTCCCATATATATTGTTCATCCGATTTGTTATTTTTGTCCTCCGCAGCCGTAATATGCATTCTGTAACAACAATATTTGGGGAAATATATCAAATACAGCTCAGAAATACATCTGCTAAATTTTATCGAGATCGGTTCAGATTTGGATATATCTCCCATATATAACTTCGTTCGATTTACCTTTTATTGTGCACCAAACGTCTAATATTTGCCCAAATCGGATGGGTTGGCACTTACGACCGAATTGAGTCTAGAAGCTAGTATGTCAAATTTGGTGAAGATTGGTTCAGATATAGCTGTAGCTCCCATATATACTGTTCATCCGATTTGTTATATTTGTTACCCACGGCCATAACATGCACTCCGTAACAACGATATTCAGGGAAATATATCAAATATAGCTCAGAAATATTTTTGCCAAATTTTATCGAGATCGGTTCCGATTTGGATATAGCTCCCATATATATCTTTATCCGATTTCAAATTAAGTGTGCACCAAATGGGCAATACAGGTCCGAATTTAAAAGATACCAATGCTTCGGCATATTTAGTCCTTTGAACTTTAAATTAATTATAATCGTAGCGTGTATGATGGAATTCTCCCATAAAAACTTTTAATTGTTATGCGGAGCTCTACTAAATTAGCAAAGTGGTGTAGGGTATCATAAAGTCGGCCACGCTCGACTTTAAGACATTCTTTACCCGTTTTCATACTATATTTTTTTTCAGATGCCTCACCTGAACTACTGTATTGGTTTTCGGAACAAACACTACAACCGGGACCAACTGTATCACTAAAATGTGTGGCAACAGGAAATCCGTTGCCACAATTTACATGGACTTTAGATGGATTTCCGGTGAGTTGATTTTCATATAAATGAATTTCTAAAATAACATATTTGGAACACCTAACAATTAAATATTCATGGATTTGATTTTTTGTTTCAATTATATTCGATTTGTCAACAAATCACAATTAAATGCCAAATCACATTCTGATTTGAAACAAGTGTTGAATAAATGCCAATCTCCCTTTAATCTCCCAACTAACTTGTTTACCTCGTGGTGGTGTTTTGTGTTTGTTTTTTGCAGATTCCCGACCATTCCCGGTTTTTGGTTGGCCAATATGTGACGATACACGACAATGTCATCAGTCATGTGAATATTACAAATGTCAAGGAGGAGGATGGCGGCGAATACACCTGTACGGCTCAGAATGCAATTGGCAAGTAAGTGTGAAATACAGAGACAAAGAGAATACAAAGAAGATTTCAACGGAAATGATTAGACAACAATTTATATTGATTTTTCAATTTCGCTGGAAATTTAAATTGTAAATTCAATTAAAAATAGCATCAAGAATTCGTGGCATTTCTATATGGCTTGCATTGTTTTAAAGTTTAAAACTTCTAGCAAAATCACGCTCCTTCGTCAGCGCAAAGTCCACCTTTAAATCCACGATATCGTATAGCCCCCATACAACGGTAACCCCAGATATTCGGTATTTTGATGATTGCAGTCACATTTTCAATGGAATTATCAGAACTTCTATACAAGGAAATCTTTAGGAGTATTTTACCCCCTGGAAGAGATTTGTCCATATAGGTCCACGATATCGTATATCGCCCATATAACGGTACATCCCATTATTCGGTATTTGATAATTGTTTCCAATTTTGTTATTGGAATTGTCTGAAAATCAATACAAAAAATTCCTTCTTAGTACTTTACGCCATGAATACGGTTCTATATTTATAGGTCCACGATATTGTATAACCCCCATACAACGATGGCCTCGATATTTGATATTTTGATGATTTTAGTAAAACTATTCACCGTATTTTTTCAAATTTCTTATTTGAAGTTTGCTATGGTACTTTAACCGATGAAGGACAATTTTCTATGCTGGTCCACGTTTTCGCATGGCCCTCATATACGATACCTCCCCATATTCGGTATTTTGATAATTTTAACGACATTTTTAATCGGAATTGTTTCACATTTCGTACATTAAGTTCCTAATAGGTACAAATATATATGACTGAAAAATGCTCATGCAGGTCCATGTCTTCTTATAACACCCGTATAACGGTATCTCCCATTATTCGGTATTTTGATGACTGTAGACAAGTTTTTCAATGGAATTGTCTGAAAATCAACAAGAATTGTCCACGATAGCGTATTTTGACGATTTCGGCCACAAATTTTATTGGAATTGCCTGATATTTGGTATTTTGATGATTTTAGCGACAGTATTCAAGGGAATTTTTTTCAAATTTCGAATTTGAAGTTCGAACGGGCACTTCAATCTGTGACGCAAATTTTTCTACGCAGGCCCACGTCTTTGTTTAGCCCTCGGTATTTTTAATTCGTAATGGGCTCTAGCTCCTGTGGCGGAAAAACGATAACCGCCGATACTATATATATATATATATATATATTTTTTTTTTTTTTTTTTTTTTTTTTTTTTTTTTTTTATACCCTCCACCTTGGAAAGGAGGGTATATTAACTTTGTCATTCCGTTTGTAACATCCCTAAATATTCGTCGTAGACCCTATAAAGTATATATATTCATACTCAGCATACAATTCTAAGTCCATTTAACAAGATCCGTTTGTCTGTCTGTTGAAATCACGATATAGCCCACGTTATTTGACGTACAGCGTCAAAATTTAGCAGAACCACGATCCACATGTTGGTATAGTCCCCATATAACGGTACCCCCGATATTCGATATTTTTATGATATTTGCCACATTTTTTCTCGGATTTGTCTGGAATCTGGAATTTGCGTGTCATAATGGGTTCTAGTTTGTGCGGCGAAACATTGTATGTATAGGTCCACGCTTTGGTATAGTCCCCATATAACGGTACCTCCGATATTCGGAATATTTATGATTTTTGCCACATTTTTTCACGGATATGCCTAAAAATTGGTATTTGTTGGTCATAATATGTTCTAGATCCCGTGGAGAAACATTATATGAATAGGTCCACGTTTTGTTAAAGCACCCATATAACGGTACCTCCCGATGTTCGGTATTTTGATGATTTTTGCCACATTTCTTCGCGCAATTGTCTAAAAATTGGTATTTGTGTGTCCTAATGGGTTGTAGCTCCGTTGGCGAAACATCGTATGTGTAGGTCCACGTTTTTGTGGACCAGTACCAGTGTAGCAGTACCTCCCGATATTCGGATTTTTGACGATTTTTGCCACATTTTCCCAAGAATATGTCTAAAAATTGGTATTTGTGGGTCAAATATTTATTTTACCCTAAGGTGGAGGGTATTAAAAGTTTGTCCCGGCCGAACTTATTGTCTTTTTACTTTTTTATAATTCTAGTCACATTTATCCACGAAAATTTTCAAATTTGGTATTTAAAAAGATTTTTTAGATGACAATCCTTGAAGTATAAAATTTTCTATAGTGGTTGCCATTTTGGTGCGGCCTCCTCCCGGCCGATCTTAATGTTTATTTACTTGATTTCATTTCGGAGTTTCGTAGTCCTTTTCCACCATCCGATTTGGATATAAAAACTGTTTATGCTCAGAATTTTCAGTACGAGTTTGTTTCACAAAATATTTTTTGAATTCTCCTTTCGTTTTATAGACTAACTTGTTTGTCGAGGTTCAACTTCAATTGAATTTCGCAGGTTCTTTTCCCTCTTATTTTGCGGTATTCTGATGGGTGACTTGGTATACTCTACAGATGCCAAAACTTCTGTGGGATACTGTTGCCAATTTACTCACAAGATAAACTGTATTATTTTAGCCAATATAGACATATGCGAATAAGTTATTTTCTAAGCCGGTGTAAACTTCTATATTCAAATTTGGTAGGCAAAAATACTGAACTAGATTACAGCAGTATGACAGACCCCACCCATTATAACATCTCGTTCGAACTATGAACAATGTTATTCTCTATTGGTACTCAACTTCTAATACCTTCCTCATCGACTTCAATTTTATAAATTCCAACCTGCTCTCCCCCACTCAATTAAATAGCAATTTATTTAATTAATTGAAAAATATCAATCACATGTCCCCGTTTCGCTTCCTTTGCAATCTAATGGCTAATTAAATAAAATGCTTTATAATTATTTGAGTTATTTGCTGTGCTACTTAATTGACTTTGTACATTTCTAAAAAAAAATTAATTCTTTTTTAACTTCACATTGTTTTCACCTCTTTTTTCTCGCAGGGTATCGCACAGCGCCAAAGTGAATATCTATGGATTGCCGCACATTCGTGAAATGCCAAAAATAACTGGAATATCTGGACATGATTTAATTGTTAAATGTCCGGTAGCTGGTTATCCAATCGATCGGATACATTGGGAAAGAGGTAAGGCGACGAAAAAAAAAAATAAATATATATATTTATCCCCTCAATACCGGATATAAGTGAATTTTAATAAAAAATTTGCTTATCAGAGATAATCTTGTTTTGTGTTTAGAGTTCAATCAACCCACTTTTCTATTTTTTTTTAATTGTTCATAAATAGGCTTAGTTTATTAATTTCATTTATTATTGCTGTTATTTCAGTTAATTGTATTTATTTTATATCAATTCCAGATGGCCAAACATTGCCCATCAATCGCCGCCAAAGAGCCTACAATAATGGCACTTTAATCATTGAACAACTACAAAGACTGGAGGATGCCGGCACCTATACCTGCATGGCCCAAAACAAACAGAAGCAGACATCCCGACGCAATGTGGAAATTCAAGTTTTAGGTAATAATACAAATATTTATAACAGATACAGGGTTGGCCATATTCGAAGGACCCGTCTGGCAACGCCATAACTTTTGACAGAGATGTCACATCGCTTAATGACATACCGCGTTTGAAGCGTCAGTCCAAGCTGATTTTTACCATGAACCAATTCAGATTCAACAGAAGAAGTCAATTGTGAAAACTCAACGTGCTTTTAAAACATTAAAAAATGTGAGAAGTGCGCCTTCTAAGAACACCATTAAGCGTTTATATGAAAAATTTTCGACTGGTAAGGCTCTTTCTAATCCGAAGAGACCATATAAAAGTCGACCAAGGCGATCGGCCGAGAATATCGCTGCCATACGAGCCAGTGTTGAGAGGTCCCCTAGAACATCCCAAAAACGCCGTTCTCAGCAGTTGGGCATGGCTCGGTCCACTTTACAACGGATTATTCGTATAACTGTATAACTCTGGACATGTCCGTTCGTCAATGTATGGTAATCGCCTTAGGTTCAATATACATCTGTTCTGTATTTGCTCTGCCAAGGTTGCAGAGTCAGAGTCAAGCAATTCTGCTGGAGTCTTAACAAGTTAAAAAGCAATAAGTTCGGCCGGGCCGAAAATACCCTCCACCATTTGTAACGAATTTGGACATTTTCAAAAAATAAAATCCGTTAAAAATTCTGTTAAAATCTTAAAAATTCCGAATATAGCCAATTTATTGTGGTCTCTACGACGTGAACCTACATAAGCTTTGTTCAAATTCGAAACTTGAAATAAACGGTGAATAATTTTGCTAAAATCATCTAAATTCCGTACATAGGGAGGTACCGTTACATCAGAGCTATACGAAGACCTGGACTTGCATAGACAATTTTCTGTTACAGCCTGTAGCATATCTCAAACAATTTCGGTGAGTATTGTACATAAAATCGTCAAAATACCGAATAGAGGGAGCTACTGATATATGGGGCCTATACGAAGACCTGGACTTGCATAGACAATTTTCTGCCATAGGCTGTAGTACCCACTACGAACTTTAAATACCAAATGTTGCTAAAATCATCAAAATACCGAATATCGGGGGCGTTATATGGGGGCTATACGAAGACGTGGACCTGCACAGACAATTTTCTGTCATAGGCTGTAGTATTCATTACGAACTTTAAATACTAAGTTTGAAATAGTTCCGGTAAATAATGTCGCTTAAATCATCAAAATACCGAATATCGTTAGGTACCTTTATATGGGGGCTATACGAAGACGTGGACCTACATGGCCCATTTTCAATACCAAAAGTCCTGCAGACATAATACAAATTTTAGTACATTTTTATTAACTTACTTCATTTTGTTCGGAAGCTAGAGTGATTTCCATAGACGGACAGACGGATAGACGGAGAGACATTGTTAAATCGACATAGAATTGTATGCTGATCAAGAATATAATACTATGTGGGGTCTAAAATGTATATTTCGAGGTGTTACAAACGGAATGGCAAACTCAATATACCCTTCATACTATAGTGGAGGGTATAATAATTATAATCGTTTAATATATAAAGCCTTTACATCGAAAAGACGGGGCTAGTTCCCCTCCCTTCCACACTTTTTAGAATTTTCGTTTTGAAATTCCTTTGAATCAGTTCTTTTGGCAATTATGCAGATTACGGGGAATATTTTGGTAGATAATCTTAATTCTCCAGCGATCCAAGAAAGGGTGCTTTTTTGTCCTTTTTACACCTACCTTGAAAAGGAGAGTATATTAACTTTGTCATTCCGTTTGTAACATAAGTACTCTTCGTAAACCCCGTAAAGTATACATATTCATAACCAGCATGAAATTCTAAGTCGATTTAACGATGTCCGTCTGTCTGCTTGCTGAAATCACGATACAGCTCAAATTATTAAACGTAGAGCTTCAAAATTTGGCACAACAATTTGTATTGTCTCTAAGATGGTTGAGATTTATCGGTCCACGTTTTGGTATAGCCGCCCAATATTCGGTATTTTGATGATTTTCGCAAAATTTTTTTCACGAATTTGTCTTACAAATGTTATTCGTAGGTCATAATGGGTTCTAGCTCCGGTGCCGAAACATTGTATGTATAGGTCCACCTTTTGTATAGCCCCATATAACGGTACCTCCCAATAGTCTATATTTTAATGATTTTTGCCACATTTTCCACGGATATCAGCCGGTTTTGCCTAGCGTTATGAATGCTCAAACTATTGACTCTTTACGGGGGAGGTAAAAGAAGGAATGGGAATCGCAAGTTATGAGATATAGAAGCAATGAAAGTTAAACTCTTTGTGAGGTAGGTACCAGAAGGGGTAGGCCGATATATCCCATCTTCACACCAGATATTTCATTAGTAAATATATTTGGAGGTGTGCAAATTAAATGTTTTTCTGGCTTTTATGAGCGTTTTGTTCTCCATAATGTTGACACCTTTGTAGGGGAGGTACCAGAAAGAATAAGCCGATATCTACCATTTTCACAACATATCTTGAGCTGACAGAAGTATTGAATATGTCCTTATTTCACATTTTATGAGAGATAGAATTATTACAAATTTTGAACTGTTCTGTGAGAGGTATAAGAAATAGTGAACTGATTTATACTATATTCGCACCAGATATTGCGCTTTAAAGACGATCGAACTCTTACTTCATATTTTAAAAGAGTTTTAATTATTCCGGATTTTGTTCCTTTGTGGAGAAGGTACTTGATAGAATGGGACGATATGGTCCATTTCCACACCTAGCCTGGAACTGATAGAAATATTGGGATGCGTGAATCTTAAAGCCAATCTGACTCTTATTTTACATTTTATAAGAGTAATAATTATTTCAAATTTTTATCGTTTGTCGAGAAGGTACCAGAAGGAGAGGTCCAATACAGGGTGAGATGAAAAAAATTGCAACCAACTTCAGACTGCTGTTATTTCTAAGCCACTCGTCCGACAGCTGTTAAAATTACTCCAGTGACAGCTAATTATATTTTTACAGGCGTTCAAAAGCATTTTGGTGAGAATTTTCCAGAAAAAAAGTTATTCGTGATTAAATTAGTGTGATTTCTTTATATTTGGCTGGAAAACCAAAAAGTGGCTATCGTTAGAGAACTCCAGTATTTCAATGTAAATAAATCTTTTGTATCTCGTACCATCGCTCGTTCCCGTGATACTGGTAGCGTAGCTCGACGTCAAGAAAGTGGACGGGAACAGGACGTGGAAAAGAGCAACATCAGCAGAAATGGTTCGGAGAGTAAAGAAGCGACGTGATCGAAACCCGCGTGGCAGTGGCGGAAAACTTGCTCGTGAGCTGAACATATCGTAATATTCCATTGACATTCCAAAAAGTGCAAGAATTTACACCGCAACAGAAGATAATAGACTCAAAAGAGCTAAAGAGTTGCTTCGCTTGGCTGAAAGTGGTGAACTGCCGAATTTGGTTTTCTCCGATGAGAAAACATTCGTTGTCCAGCATTCTGTAAACAAACAAAATGATCGTGTTTATTTGTCAAAGAGGTCAGCTGAAATGTGCACCTTCGGTTGGCCACCAGAATTCATGCGCCTGCCATGGTCATGGTGTGGGCTGCCTTAACAGCCGATGGTCGCTCTCCGCTCGTATTAATCGATTATTAAATATTATTGCGAACATATTCTGCAGGATGTATTAAAGCCTTGTGTACGCAAACATTTTGGCCGCAGACCTTGGAAATTCCAACAGGACTCAGCACCGTAGCACTTAGCACGCGACATCAAAAAATGGTTAAAATTGAGGTTCCTCACTTCATTTCCAGCGCACAATGGGCACCAAAATCTCCGCATACCTATCTGTTGGGCTATTGCGTCTGGAGTATTTTGGAAAGCAAGGTTGGCACCAAAAATACCAAAGTGTCGATCACCTCAAGCAAGCGCTTCGCCGGGAATGGGCCAAAATACCAAAGAGCAACATTCGGGCAGTGTGTGACGGTTTCATTGGCCGTTTGAAGGCCGTAAATCGTGCCAAAGGTGACCAATTCGAACAAAACTATACTTATTCTAAAATGTATGCTATTTCCAACATTTTTTGCTTTCATTCCATAAAATTTAAAAAAAAAATTAAGTATGGTGTTTGAATTTGTTGCAGTTTTTTTATCTCACCTTGTATATTTCGTCTTCACACCATATCTTGTGTTGGTTGAAATATTGAGATGTTTGCGACATTTGAATATAGTCGGACTCTTTTTTCACATTTTATAAGAGTTATATGTATTCATAATTTTGACACTCTGTGGAGGAGGTACTAAAAAAGGAGTACGCCGATATTTTTCATTTTTTGCACCTGACCTATTGGGATTTTCAATGTTTCTACAAAATCGAATGATCCTTTCTCTATCTATGAGGTAAATAATTTTCTTTGGAATAGTTGACATTTTGTGGGGAAGGTACCAGAAGGTGTGGACCGATATTGCCCATCCCCAAACTCGTTCTAAGTTTGACAATATTATTGTGATGTACCAAGTTTGAGCAATATCGGTTCACTCCTTCTGGTAACTCCTCCACAAAAGATCGAAATTTTTATTATCCTTCTAAAATTATGTGTAGTTGGAGATTTTTTCACAAAATCACACAAAGTACGGATTTAACCCAAAAATGTGTTATCTAACAAACATAAATTCCTGGCGGTTGGGGAAGATTTTGACTTTTCACGTCTTATAGGACCTATAGTAGAATTTACGATCTTCTACTTATAGCTCTACTTTCATAATCTCCTGAAATTTTCCTGTAATTATTTTTTGTGTTGCACAGTGTTTTTTATGTACGTACACGTATGTATGTTTGCGTGTTTGCTTGCTCAAGCATAAAATCCACAATGTAACAGCTAACTTATTTACGACTATCATGATATATAAGGCAACTAATCTTCATGCCATCGTCACCTTGACCCAAGCATCAGCAACAGAAAATAACAATATACCATTGTTCTTTGTTCTATCTTCTATGTTCATTTTCTCGTTTTGCTGTTCTCTGTAAAACTGTTGCAATGCAAATTAGTTCAGAGGAAGTGGAAAAATTTAAACTAAACTTGCCGGTAACATCTGCCATGGCAAGAATTAAAAGACTCAAATCATATTCCATTGCTAGGCAACTTGTTTCCAACTGGAATATGCCGTTCTATTGGGTGCTGCAGGAGAGAAACAATCTTGAGATGTCAATGACTTTCTGTGGAAATTGCCAAAGCAAAAAAAAAGTGCAATGAGCAAAAAAATAAATATTGCAGTAAATATTTGTTTTTCTGCTTTCTGTTCTCCCTCTCTCTCTCTCTAGTGGAGCACAATCAAAAGCTCATCAACAGCTGCCGCCGCATTTATAATAGCCACTCGTTGCCGCAAACGAAACGAAACGAAATATCTTTACAATTTTCCCCAAACACGAAACTAAATAGAGCGCCATCAAAAGGACTCATTCACGGAAGAACGGAGGGTGTGACGACTGACAGATGAAAGAAATCATTATCGTCGCCATCATCATTTCCATCGTATTGGTATTGTTCAACAGAAGTTTATTTCATTTTTTTTTTGTTGGTTGTTGGTTTATTGCCATTGTTGTTGCAATTTCAACTGCAATTGTCGGCAGACAAATGATGGGTTCCACACCATCAATCCCATCAGACACTCATTGGAGTCCAACAATAGGCTGAAATCCAATAAAACAACGGATAATAATGCCGATTGAAAATTGTTGCTTTGTTACAGTGTACCGTTGTGATTTGTTTCTACACCCTCCACCATAGTATGTGGGGTATATTAAGTTTGTCATTTCGTTTGTAACACCTCGAAATATACATTTTAGACGCCACAAAGTATATATATTCTTGATCAGCATAAAACTCTATGTCGATTTAGCAATGTCTGTCCGTCTGTTCGTCTGTCCGTCTGTGGAAATCGCTCTAGCTTCCGAACGAAATGAAGTAAGTTGATAAAATTTTACTCAAATGTGTATTATGTCTGCAGGATTTTTGGTATTGAAAATGGGTCATGTAGGTCCACGTCTTCGTATAGCCCCCATATAACGGTACCTCACTTTTTTCAATATTTTGATAATTTTAGCGACATTATATACCGGAACTTTTTTAAATTTGGTACTTGAATTTCATAATGAATACTATGACAGAAAATTGTCTGTGCAGGTACATGACCACGTTTTATAACCACCATGATACCTCCCTATTTTCGGTATTTTGATGATTTTAACGACATTATAAACAGATTTTGACAAAAGTTGCCAATGCAGGTCCACGTCGTCGTATAGACCCTAATATACGGCTACATTCGGTATTTTTAAGATTTTAATAGAATTGTTAACGGATTTTATTTTTTGGAAAATTTTTAATTTTGTACCAAATGGTGGAGCGTATTCAAAGTTCGGCCCGACCGAACTTACAGTTTTGTACTTGTTTTTATACCCTACACCACAAGGTGGTCAGGGCATTATGTCTTTGTGCATTTGTTTGTAACAAGCAAAAGGAAACGAGATAGACCCATAGTTCCTTTTGATGATCTGCATAGAATCACATTCTGAGTCGATTTATGCATGTCCGTCCGTATGTCCGTCCGTCGGACCGTCGGTCCATCTGTCCATGTATTTTTGTAAACAAAGTACAGTTCGCATTTATTGCCCTATCCAGATGAAATCTTGCACAAATCATTTGTTTGGCCCAAGGACGAACCCAATTGAAATTGGAGATAATCGGTCAAAATTTAGATATAGCTCCCATATATATCTTCGTCCGATTTGCTTTTTATTGTACAACAAACGTGTAATATCAGTCCGAATAGTATGGAATTTTGCACGTACGATCAGATTGGGCCTGAAAATAAGTATGCCAAATTTGATCGAAATCGGTTCAGATATAGCTATAGCTCCCATATATATTGTTCATCCGATTTGTTATTTTTGTCCTCTGCAGCCGTAACATGCACTTTGTAACAACAATATTTGGGGAAATATGTCAAATATAGCTCAGAAATACATTTGCTAAATTTTATCGAGATCGGTTCAGATTTGGATATAGCTCCCATATATAACTTCGTCCGATTTACCTTTGATTGTACACCAAACGTCTAATATTTGCCCAAATTGGTTGAAATTTGGCACTTACGACCGAATTGAGTCTAGAAGCTAGTATGTCAAATTTGGTGAAGGTCGGTTCAGATATAGCTATAGCTCCCATATATACTGTTCATCCGATTTGTTACCCACAGCCGTAATATGCACTCCGTAACAACGATATTCGGGGAAATATATCAAATGCAGCTCAGAAATATATTTGCCAAATTTTATCGAGATCGGTTCCGATTTGGATATAGCTCCCATATATATTTTTATCCCATTTCAAATTAATTGTACACCAAATGGGCCATACAAGTCCGAATTTAAAAGATACAAATGCTTCGGCATATTCAGTCCTTTGAATTTTAAATTATAAATATAATCATAGTGTGTATGATAGAATTCTCCCATAAAAACTTTTAATTGTTATGCGGAGCTCTACTAAATTAGCAAAGTGGTGTAGGGTATCATAAAGTCGGCCCCGCCCGGCTTTAAGACTTTATTTACTGGTTAATTTTTTTTTTTTTTTTTTTGATCACACTATAAGTTTGTTGGCGACCAAACTCATATAGCCCGTCAAATGGAATCGATGGAATGGAATAGTCAATCCAAACTATCAAAGCATTGAATATGATACCTTTCAATGCCAATACAAAAATTTAGTTTTAGTCATTAAATTCGGACGGGCCGAACTTTTAATACCGTCCACCATTTGGTAAAGAAAACATTTTTATGCAAACGTACCTGGATTCAAATTTCACACAAATCTCACTCAGAAATCGTGGCTTAAATCGTCAAAATATCGCATATCAGGTGGAACCGTTATACCGGGGCTATACAAAAACGTGAACCTATATATACAATGTTCCGCCACGAGAGCTAGAAGCCATAACGAACTGCAAATACCAATATTTAGACAGATCCCTGGAAAAATGTGACTAAAACCAATACACCGAATATCGGGAGGAACACTTATATGAGGGATATATGATATCTTAGACCTATATAGACAGTACTCTTCTAGGGGGGTAAAGAACTCAGAAGGAGCTCCTTTTGTAGATTTTCAAACCATTTCATTTTAAAAATTTGCTACAAAATACCAAATATGGGGGGTACCGTTATATGGGGGCTAAACGATATGGTGGGTCGATATAGTCTATCTTTGAATGAGCAATGAGTTGACTTATATTGTCTATTCTCATCCTAACCTATGTATGTCCTATCTAAATATTACAATATAAATACTCCCTCCCACTCACTCCCTTTACTCAATCATAGATTTAAAAGCTTTTCATGGATAATTTTTGAACTTTGTGGGAAAGGTACCAGCAGGGGACTTGCTTGATTCTGGTTACGTCGGGTACTTCCATTGCTCAATATAAGATTTGAAATCTGTAGCAAAATGTTGAAGCTGTCTTGGCGAGCTACCAGAAAGAGTGGGTCGTTATTGTTTTTCGACAACCCACTGTACCAATTGTCATTGAACAGTTCTGCAACTGACATTTGTTGCAAGCACTGCTACTGCTGCTGCTGTCAGTAAACCACAAATATAATGAGTTTTTCTCCAGCCACATCAAACTGCGCGCACTCTTCATTATGAGAAACATATTTCCTTTTACTCCAGCCATCGTCATCATCATCATCGTCATTACTAATGAGTTGAGATTTCAACTGGCCTCTTTCTGAACTCAATTTTACGATTCTTTTCATTCGATTTCTGTTTTCTTTCTGTGTCTTTTCAATCATTCGCAATACAGTGCCACCCAAAATAATGCCCATTCAAGCCATGACAAACATGCTGAGAGAAGGTATGCGAGCGGCAATATCCTGTCAAATACTGGAAGGTGATTTACCTGTTAGCTTCAGGTGGGAGCGGAATGGAAAACCTTTGATCGGAACTGGGTATGTAGTTAAAAATGTTGAATGATGATTTACCATAAAACAAAAACAAGTATTTATGTTTATCTATGTTTAAGGTCTAAAAATATAAATTAAGTAAAGTTTAAAAATTCAGACAGAGCTACTAGATACCTCCAAACAAAAGCCTCTCACAAAAACATCAATGTCCTCCTAAATTTTCAGAAAAGTAGAGAGTTTTCTAAAAAAAAACTCCTAGAGAGCATTTGAACAGAATTTCTTAAAATCTCCAAATAAATATTCAGACGGCTTCTTCTGTAAATCAAACATTTTCCTGTTTATACCCTACACCGCATAGTGATAAGGGTATTATATCTTTGTGCATTTATTTGTAACATGGAGAAGGAAGCGAGAGGACTTTTGAGGATTTTCATTGAATAACTTTCTGAGTCGATTGTCCGTCCGATTGAGATGAAATATTCCAACAATATTTGTTTGGCCCAAGGACGAATCCGATTGAAATTGGTGAGAATCGGTTCAAATTTAGATATATCTGCAATATATATCTTCACCCGATTTCATTTTTATTGTGCACCAAAATGGCTAATACCAGTCCAATCATCTGAATTTTGGCACATCCGACTGAATTCATCCCAGAACCAAGTACTTACAATTTGGTAAAAATTGGTTCAGATATAGCTATAGCTCCCATACACAGGGTGACATGAAAAACATGCAGCCAACTTCAGACTGCTCTCATTTCTTATTATTCCAGTGACAGCTCATTATATTGTTTACAAACGTACAAAAGCATTTATGTGAAAATATTCCAGAAAAAACGTTATCCGTGATGGAATTCAAGCGTGATAGTGTGATTTCTTTATTTTTGGCTGGAAAACCACAAGTGGCTATCGTTAGAGCACTCCAGCATTTAAATGTCAATCAATCCTTTGTGTCTCGTACCATCGCCCGTTACCGTGATACTGGTAGCGTAACCCGACGTCAAGGAAGTGGACGGAAGAAAACAGCAACATCAGCAGAAATGGTTCGAAAAGTTAATAAGCGACTTGATCGAAGCCCACGTCGCATTGGCCGAAAAATGGCTCGTGAGCTAACATATCGCAATATTCCATTCCGCAAATATTGAAAAAAGAGCTCGCGGTAAAGCCCTTGAAATTCCAAAAAGAGCAAGAACTTACACCGCAACAGAAAGAAAATAGACTCAAAATAGCTTCGCTTGGCCGAAAGTGGTGAACTGCCGAATTAGGTTTTCTCCGTCTCCGATGAAAAAACATTCGTTATCCAGCAGTTTGTAAACAAACTAAATGATCGTGTTTACTTGCAAAAGAGGTCAGTTGAAAATATGCACACTCGGTTGGCCACCAGAACTCAGGCGCCGGCCATGGTGATGGTGTGGGCCGCCATAACAGCAGATGGTCGCTCTCCGCTCGTATCAATCGATCGTAGCATCAGAATAAATACCGAATATTATCGCGAAAATATTCTGGAGGTTGTATTGAAGCCTTGGGCACGCAAACATTTTGGCCGCAGCCCTTGGACATTCCAAGTTACAAAATGAGGTTCCACGCTTCATTTCCAGCGCTCAATGGCCCCCAAAATCTCCGGACACCAATCCATTGGACTATTGTGTCTGGAGTATTTTGGAAAGCAAGGTTGGCACTTAAAAATACCTAATTGTCAATCACCTCAAGCAAGCGCTTCGCCGGGAATGGACCAAAAAACCGCAGAGCAACATTCGGGCAGCGTGTGACGGTTTCATTGGCCATTGGAAGGTCATAATTCGTGCCAATGCTGACCAATTCCATCAAATCTAAACTTATTCCAAAATTTGATGCTAATTCCGATATTTTCAAGAAATTTAAAAAAAAATGTAAAAGTTAGGGCGTTTGATCTTGTTGCAGTTTTTTATCTCACTCTGTATATCATTTAAAGCTCACAAGTATCTCTGTCAAATTTTATCATCAGCCCAAATGAACTGGATATTGGCAATTCCGGCTGAATTCATCCTAGAGGCAAGTACTTCAAAGTTGGTGAAAATCGGTTCAGATGTAGCTATAGCTCCCATATATATGTTTCATCCGATTGGTTTTAACTCCCTCACATTCGTAATATGCACTTCACAAAAATTATATTTGGTACCACACAGCTCAGAAATGCCTCTGCCAAATTTTAACAAGATCGGTTCAGATTTGGATATGGGTCCCATATACACCCTTATCCGATTTTAGTTTTAGTGTGCACCAAATTTCTAATATCAGCCCAAATGAAGTGAATTATGTCATGTACCTCAAATTTGGTGAAAATCGGTTCAGATATAGTTATAGCTCTCATATATGTGTTTCATCCGATTTGGTGCTGAAGTCTCTCACATGCGTAATATATACTCCACAAAAATAATATTTGATACCAGACATCTGATACAGATCGATATAATTCTACCAAATTTTATCGAGATCGTCTCTGATTTGTATATACCTTCGACAGACACCTTCATCCGATTTTACTTTTATTGTTCACCATGTATGTAATGTCAGCCCAAATTGGATATATTATTTCATATTCAACCAAAGTTTTTCCATGTGGTGCAACTCGGACCGGTATATCTAGTGATCCAATAAATTTTTTGATGTTATTTGGTACTAGAGACACAAAAGCCTCCGTCAAATTTTTTTTTTTTTTTGAGAATCGATTCAGCGTTGGATATAATTCCCAAATTGTGACTACTCTAAAGCCAAGATACGCATTCAAATCAGGTTCATAGTTTTGATCTCCCGAATAGTGGTGTAGGTTTATTGCTGGGAGGGACATTTTAGTGAATTCTTTCAAAAATCCTCGATGAAGGCTAGGAGAGCTCTTCTAGTCCAATTTTTTTTCAAATTCACTTTTTTAACTTTTGAACCAAATATATAAAAAAGTTGTATTCTAGAACGTTCTTCTAAAGAAACAAAAAATACTCCTCTATCTAAAATCCACTTATATAATTCTTAACATTGCTTATGGCTGGAAGAGTCCTACTTTTTATACCCTACACCACAAGGTGGTCAGGGTATTATGTCTTTGTGCATTTGTTTGTAACAGGCAAAAGGAAACGAGATAGACCCATAGTTCCTTTTGATGATCTGCATAGAATCACTTTCTGAGTTGATTTAGGCATGTCAGTCCGTCCGTCCGTCCGTTCGTCTGTCCATGTATTCTTGTGAACAAAATGCAGGTTGCATTTATTATCCGATTGAGATGAAATTTTGCAAACAACATTTGTTTGGCCCAAGGACGAACCCTATTGAAATTGGAGATAATCGGTAAAAATTTAGATATAGCTCCCATATATATCTTCGTCCGATTTGCTTTTTTATTGTGCACCAAACGTGTAATATCAGCCCGAATAGTATGGAATTTAGGCCTGAAAATATGTATGTCAAATTTGACCGAAATCGGTTCAGATATAGCTATAGCTCCAATATATATTTTTCATCCGATTTTTTATTTTAGTCCTCCGCAGCCATAATATGCACTCTGTAACAACAATATTTAGGGAAATATATCAAATGCAGCTCAAAAATACCTTTGCTAAATTTTATCGAGATCGGTTCAGATTTGGATATAGCTCCCATATATAACTTCGTCCGATTTACCTTTTATTGTGCACCAAACGTCTAATATTGGCCCATATGGGATGGAATTTGGCACATACGACCGAATTTAGTCTAGAAGGTAGTATACCAAATTTGGTGAAGATCGGTTCAGATACAGCTATAGCTCCCATATATATTGTTCATCCGATTTGTTGTATTTGTTACCTACAGCCGTAATATGCACTCCGTAACAACGATATTCAGGGAAATATATCAAATACAGCTCAGAAATATTTTTGCCAAATTTTATCGAGATCGGTTCAGATTTGTATATAGCTCCCATATATATCTTTATCTGATTTCAAATTAATTTTGCACCAAATGGGCAATACAAGTCCGAATTTAAAAGATACAAATGCTTCGGCATATTTAGTTCTTTGAATTTTAAATTATAATTATAATCATAGAGTGTATGCTAAATTTTCTCCCATAAAAACTTTTAATTGTTATGCGCAGCTTTACTTAATTTTGCAAAGTGGTGTAGGGTATCATAAAGTCGGCCCCGCCCGACTTTAAGACTTTCTTTACTAGTTTAATTTAAACACAAAAAAATTGTTAATGTTTCATTCCTCCAATATGTCCTCTTTCTCCTTACAGCAACGAAGTCATACGCCGCTTGGATGAATACTCAGCCAGTTTGGTCATCGAACACATAACCTCAGAACATTCGGGTAATTATACATGCATTGCACAGAATGTTGCCGGCACGGAACGTTTTACAGTGCCACTCACCGTGAATGTACCACCCAAATGGATATTGGAACCCAAAGACTCAAGTGCACAGGCTGGAGATGATGTCCTATTGCATTGCCAGTCATCGGGTTACCCAAAACCGACGATAACCTGGAAGAAAGCCATCGGCCCGACACCGGGCGAATACAAAGATTTCATTTACGAACCCACCGTTCAATCTTTTCCAAATGGCTCAATACTCTTCAAGAAAATCACCAAAGAATCTCAGGGACATTTTTTGTGTGAAGCCAAAAATTCGATCGGTTCCGGCGTGAGCAAGGTGATATTTCTCAAAGTGAATGGTAAGCATTTTCCGTTTGCTATTGTTGCTTTTAGTAACCCCCTAACCATGCCAACTCATTAATGGTTATTTTCTTTCTTTCTGTCTCCTCTGCCTCTTTTACAGTTCCTGCTCATTTTCAAACAAAATCGAAACAAATCTCCGTTGCCAAAGGCAAACAGGTGCACATTCAGTGCAACGTCCAGGGTGACAACCCCATTGACATTCATTGGAAATTGCAAGCCACACAACAGACCATAGACGAATCAATGGACACCAGGTGAGTTCTTCTACGTCGTTCATCAGTCCCATTGTTGGTACTTATGCTTGGTATGAATAAGCTTGACCCGCTTCAATTATTCGTTGGTGATACAATCGTATGTATACATATATTGGGTGGAGATCCCAGACAGGATTAGCTTTGCTATTGAAAAGGATAACGAATAGAAATTCCACATAAAGGAATTAAATTTTGTAAATAAATGTAATGTGTCGATTTTGGGAATTAGAGAGATAGAGATAATCGGATCTCTTGTATGATTAGAGGTTATTGTACTTATGGTTCTATTGACTTTTGAGCACTATGTTATGGACCTATTGTTGGTTGTTACTTTGGCTATACATTAGTACGAAATTTGTAGTAATATCAAAAGAGAAGGTAACTTGGCAATGCATTTTACTACCCATTAGAAAAAGACAGTAAGGAAAAAACAAAAGCTGGTCGCAGCCGACTGAGGCATCAATATAAAATTGCTGGATTCCAACTCTATTCCCAATTTAGTACCACATATTTTCGAACAATGACGGTACATACTTCCAAAACGAACCTCCATATCTTAACCATGGACACCAAAGAATCTCAGGGACATTGACGTCTATATCAAATTTCAGAATTTCAATTCTATTCTTTCAGCCAATGCCAAATTTAGGACTATTCCGTACTTTTCGAACAAATGTAGGACACATTTCCAAACTACCGCCAAATCTCAAACACAGAATGTATCAATGATCTAAATATCAAATTTCAGAATTGTATCTCTATCCCTTCACCCAATATCAAATTTAGTACTTTTTAGTACATTTTCTACAATTTTAGTAAACATTTTCAAAAACACGTCCATATCGCAATCCCAGACCTTTCAATGTCAATCTTCTGGATTCCAACTCTACACCTTCATCAAAAACTCAATTAGTGCTCATAGTACACATTTTCAAAACCACCTCCATATCTTAACCATAGCCACCAACAGTGACATATATATTAAATTTCAAGTTTCCAGCTCTTCCCTTTCATCCTATACCCAATTTAGTACATATATTGGTCGGATTTCCAAATCACAGTCAAATCTCAAAAACCGATAGTATCAGTATCAAATTTCAGGAAAAGTTGAAATGTGCTGAATTTACTAGATATACTGGAACGAAATATTCCACTGCATCTAATAATGATACAAAATATTGAAATGTGCAAAATTTAACGAAAATAGATGTATCGAGGTACCAGAAAGAGTGGACCGATAAGTGTCATATTCCCCACAGTTCTCTGGTTGCGAGAAATATTAAGATAAATCAAGTTTATAAAGAATAGCAAACTTGTTTCGCAAGTTATTAGAAACATAGGTATTGAAAATTGTAATTCTATTGTGGGTGTGTACCAGTGGGACGATATATACCATATTCACGTCAAGTCTTGTGATAGTAAAAATTAGAATGTGTAAAATTTGAAGAGTTATCGTGCGCATCAGCCATCCAGACAGACGAACGGACGGACACCCCTAGATCGACACCAAACGGATTTGGTCCAAAGAGACCTAGGGTATTAAACCGTTAATTCGATGGGGCATCTTTTGGTCGTATCAAATCAGATACATCCTCTGTAGCCATATGGCCTAGGGCACGTGTAGAATCTCAACCATATTCGAGCGACATCGAAAAATTGAGTTCGCTCAATTTCTTCCGCTTCCAGGAGCGTGTTCCCTCGAATTCGGGTAAGTTTTACTTTTTCTACAAATTCAAGCGAGTTTTTCGGAGGCCTGATCAAATATTGTGCAAATATGTGCAAAGCTTTAACTTTTTGAACTTCTTTGGAGGAGGCTCAAGTGGAAGTGGGCCGATATTGAACTCGACTTAAGTTCTGAACTGAGGGTATAACAAGTTAAAAACTAGAAAAGTGAGTCCCAAAGTCAGGCGGGGCCGACTTTATGATACCCTACACCACTTTGCTAATTTAGTATTGCTCCGCATAACAATTAAAAGTTTTTATGGGAGAATTCAATCATACACGCTATGATTATAAATATAATTTAACGTTCAAAGTACTAAATATGTCGAAGCATTTGTATCTTTTAAATTTTGACTTGCATTGCACATTTGGTGCACAATCAATTTGAAATCGGATAAAAATATATATGTGGGAGCTATATCTAAATCGGAACCGATCTCGATAAAATTTGGCAAAGATATTTCTTAGCTGTATTTGATATATTTCCCTGAATATCGTTGTTACGGAGGGCATATTACGGCTGTGGGTAACAAATACAACAAATCGGATGAACAGTATATATGGGAGCTATAGCTATATCTGAACCGCTCTTCATCAAATTTGACATACTAGCTTCTAGACAAGTTTCATCCCATTTGTGCAAATATTAGTAGTTTGGTGCACAATCAAAGGTAAATCGGAGAAGTTATATATGAGAGCTATATCCAAATCTGAACCGATCTCGATAAAATTTAGCAAATGTATTTCTGAGCTGTATTTGATATCTTTCCCCAAATACTGTTGTTACAGAGTGCATATTACGGCTGCGGAGGACAAAAATAACAAATCGGATGAATAATATATGTGGGAGCTATAGCTATATCTGAACCGATTTCGATCAAATTTGGCATACTTGTTTTCAGGTCCAATCTGATCATACGTGTAAAATTCCATACTATTCGGACTGATATTACACGTTTGGTGCACAATAAAAGGCAAATCGGACGAAGATATATGTGGGAGCTATATCTAACTTTTTACCGATTATCTCCAATTTCAATAGGGTTCGTCCTTGGGCCAAACAAATGATTTGTGCAAAATTTCATCTGGATAGGCCCATACGGACGGACGGATATGCATAAATCGACTCAGAATGTGATTCTATGCAAATCATCAAAAGGAACTATGGGTCTATCTTGTTTTCTTTTGCCTGTTACAAACAAACGCACAAAGACATAATACCCTGACCACCTTGTGGCATAGGGAATAAACAGTAAGTTCGGCCGGGCCGAACTTTGAATACCCTCCACCATTTGGAACGAATTTAGAAATTTTCAAAAAATAAAATCCTTAAAAAATTCTGTTAAAATTTACAAAATATCGAATATAGGGAGGTACTGATATATGGGGCCTATACGAAGACCTGGACCTGCATAGACAATTTTCTGTCATAGACTATAGTTCCCAATGCGAACTTTAAATAAGTAATTTTAAACAATTCCGGTGAATAATGACGCTAAAATCATCAAAATACCAAATATCGGGAGGTACCGTTATATGGGGGCTATAACGTGGACCTACATGACCCATTTACGAAATTAACCTGCTTACTGGCATAATAAACATGTGTGCAAAATTGTAGCCTTCTAACTCAATTCGTTCGAAAAATAGCGTGATTACAACAGACGACAGACGGACATCGCTAAATCGACTTAGAATTTTACGCTGATCAAGAATATATATACTTTGTTGGGTCTGGCATGAGTATTTCCAGGAGTTACAAACGGAATGACGAAGTTAATATACCCTCCATAGTATACCCTCCACCAAACTATGGAGGGTATATTAAAGTTGCTGAATGTCTTAAATTGGGTTGCCTCGTTGTATAGGGGCTTTGTCAAAATATGGACCAAAATAAAAAGTTATCGCACTGTGCCTATGGACAATAGATACATGCTACCAAGGCAGATAAAAGGCCGGCTGTTTACTGACATGCTGAATATGTAATTCATTCATTCATTCATTCTTAATTTCCATTGAAAAAAATTGTATCTAATTTTCCGTCAAATTGTTGATTTTAGATTTAAATTTATCCGTATACAATTTCTGTCTAAATTGAATTGTTTTGTGTAAAATGTTATGTCATATGACAACATTAGTATTTTAGAGATTTTAAAGTATTTATACCTTAAAGAGTTTTCATTGTCATCGACCATTTTAGTTTAGTTTAGTTTAGTTTTAATTTCATTTAAAATCACATTCATTGTTAAGTGTCAATATTTTCTCAATAATCAATTATAGGAAAGGAATAACAACTACAATTAATTAAATTGTGCTCAGTAGAGCTTTCCGAAATCATGGAAGTGAAAAAATGAAAGTAACAAACTGACAATACTTCAATTATCTAACGAATCATTTCAAGGCAACAGATGTAGAGAGCAGTGCATTTAATTATCATCACCTATCCAATTGATTTCTTACAATTCCAGGCACATCCATCCATTCATCCATCAACTACAGAAGTTCTAATTCAGTAGAATCCATGTACATCTCTTGTTTGTTTATAGAAAGTACGCCAACAGAAATAAAAATATTTTATACAAGTACTTCATATTTGCATTTTCTTTAATCTATTCAGTGACGTATTACAGATAATATATCTGTTTTGATAAATGAAGCCAGATATTGCATTCGTAGAACCCACAAATGCATTTATGAACAAGTAACAAGTAAAAAAACATTAAGTTCGGCCGGGCCAAACTTTTAATACCCTCCACCTTAGGGTAAAATAAACATTAGAAGAAATGTGGCAAAAACCATTAAAATGCCGATTATGGGGAGGTACCGTAATATGGGGGCTACACCAAAACGTGGACCTATAATTACAATGTTTCGCCACACGAACTAGGACCCATTATGGCCCACAAATACCAATTTTTAGACAAATCAGTGAAAAAATGTGGCAAAAACCATCAAAATACCGAATATCGGGAGGTACCTTTATATGGGGGCTATATCAAATAATGGACCCATGCATGCAATGTTTCGCCACCGAAGCTGGAACCAATTATGACCAACAAATACCAAATTTCAGACAAATCCGTGAAAAAAATGTGGCAAAAATCATCAAATTACCGAATATCTGGAGGTACCGTTATATGGGGACTATACCAGAACGTGGACCGATATATCTCATTTTCAATACCAACCATCCTAGACACAATGCAAATAGCTCTGCTAAATTTTGGAGCTCTACGTCAAATAATGTGGGCTGTATCGTGATTTCAACAGACAGACAG